ACCGTCATAGACAAAAGTAACAAGACTACAGTACTTATAGGAGTGTACAATTACGCCATAAAAATAAGTTTGGAGGCAGTTTGCATACTCCATTGTTCAGAAATAAGATTTAAGTGATACTATAATAACGCTTAGAACCGTAATAAGCAAGCGACAGCATGCAAAAACAGCTTCTATACAGATTTAATGATAAAATATTACATAATACTTTCATATTCTCATAGATTAAGAACCCTGAGGTTACTTAGAACCCAGCCCATAGTACGGACTTTATACAGCTTGAGCTGTATAATAACTCAGAAACAACCACTCTTGTAAGCATACAACCTCTTTTCTGCGCTCTTATATGCTTCTAAAAAACTCTAAGTTCTATGTGGGCTGGTATATTGATGTTCTTAACGCTTGTGTGCTGCTTGGGATGCTACGTCCACTACCACGACCTTGAGCGGATGTACAACATCAGATGGACCGTGAATAAGACTCTTTAATATCATACGTCTAGCAACCCTTACCACTTTTAATAGCACAGCTTTTTTATATAGAAGAGGTGGCAAACGAGCATACGGTTCATCTGATGTTAAGTGACTACCGCCGCCCATGAAATACGACAACACCAGGGGAATTGCAGGTGCGTTGCCGGACTTTTAGAAAGGAGTAGGTTCTTTTCTTGAAGGTCCCTAAGTCGTATCGGTCCGGAAAAATCGCCGGCGGTAAACTATTCCACAGAGAGGTCGTACACGGAAGAAAATTCCTAGTGAAACGTACAGTGGTGGACAGCATCCAGATGGTGTGGATGGTATCGGGAGGATTGCCGCGTAGTGCGTTCATGAAATTTGGCGGCTGGAATTAATCTGAACAATTCCTCAGAGCACTCCCCGTGGTATATGCGAAAGAAAATGTAAAGAGATGCAACATCTCTTCGCAGCGCCAGTGAATCGAGCCGATCGGAAAGCACACGGTCGTCGACGATTCGAGCCGCTCTGCGCTGGATGCGGTCAAGTGGAAGGAGCTGGTACTGGGGAGCCCCAGCCCAGAGATGGGAACAGTATTCCATGTGCGGCCGAACCTGCGCCTTGTAAAGTTGCAAAGTTGATTAATAAATATGTAGCAAGTTGGGTTGATTGGTATAAGGTAGCAAGCTATTTTATAACGAGCACGGCATGGGCGTGGCTTCCGATGTATATCTAAATTGTCTTGGAATAAGAATTGCGTTATTTACATTTTACTCTTAACATTTATTCGTTAAGTTAAAGTTACAGCCTATATACGTCCCACTGCTGGGCACAGGCCTCCCCTCATTTCTGAGAGGGTTTTAGGACAAGGAAGTGTTCGCTGCGCTGCCCCAATGCGTGTTGGCGAACTTCACATCTCATCGAAATATTTTTTTTACTTATTCCTCAGACATGCAGGTTTCCTCACGATGTTTTCCTTCACCGCCGAGCACGTGGTAACTCAGCACTTAAAATTGCAATTAACAATTTTACTGGCGGGGATCGAACCCGGGTTACTCGCGTTCTGTTATATTTACAGCGAGCGTTAACCATCTGAACTACCACGGCTCTTATTCGTATTTTTATTCGTAATCAAAGTTAATTTTAATATATGTAATATATATAATATAATTTACTTTTTACAAAATAATGTTGATTTTCATGATCTTCTATTAAGTTACGTGATAATGTTTATTTGCCATATTTGATTCATATCATTGTCCCCATTGAATATTGGTTGGCGCTATAAAAAAGGGGCTGATATTTTTTTACGTTAGGGTGGGCAGATTTAAAATTGCAGAAACGGAATTCATGGATGGGTCTTCCTGATAACAGATCAAAATAAATAAAAGATGCAGTTGCAAACCCTCCTGCAAAGCGGCAAATATCCAGCTTATTTAAAAATCTACGGGAGAAACTTATTTTCAGCAGTATATAGGCTGTAATTACTATGATGAGCTTTTTCCTCTATCCTTAATATTTATGGTACAATGAAAACAAAAATGTAATATTCCCGAAAATATGAATGAGATTTTATGCTAGGAAGGAAGCAATGTACTGTAAAAGTAACTTGGATGCGTAAGTAATATAAGTAATTAAATTAGGTACTCGTGAACAAAGATACTCCTATCCAGAATAGTTATTTGTAGGCCCTCAGACCAATAAAGAAAGTAGGCCATACAAGCATTTGTTCCATGTGGGATTTGAACCTGCAACCAACCGCAAGCGAATATTGAGAACCTTTCGAAATATAAATTTTCAAAATATTAATTTTTATTGATAAAAATGTTTCAATTGAATTTCAGTCATACTGCAATGCTGTAGCCATTCAAAATTTCATGTCGCAATGTGACTACTGGCTCGGTAATACCTACTACTAGGTCATCATCATCATCATTATCACAGTCTATCAAAACTCACTACTGTACTTCCCCATGGGTTGCATCATTAGGGGGACATTTGTAAAAGTTGCAAGGCTCGGCATGCGCAGTTTTGTTTATTTTCTACTTGTTATTACATAGACAATGGGTGCGTTTGGCAGAAAAAAGCGCTAGCGAGAGCTTACAAGCGCTAAAATAGTTTTCGGCCAGGACACGATTGCTACTTCAGTAGCGCTGACACAATCCGCCATTTTGCTTATTTAATTTGTTTGTTTTGAAGTAGAAATTATAAGTTGGTTTGAGCAATATTAGTTTTAAGTAATATAATGACATGAATAGACATATACATGTTATTAAAAACTCATGATTGGTAAGTTTTTAATATGAATACTTTACAAACATATTTAAATTAGGTTAGGTTCCCCGGTTAAAACTAACATCGTGTCCTGGAGGAAAATAGCTACTTACGATTTGATAGCGCTTACCGCTTACGGTCGCCATTTTGCTTACAAGCGCTTGCTAGCGCTTTTTTCTGCCAAACGCACCCAATGGGCAGCATTCATCCATCTCCTGGTTTGTTTCCTTCTGGTGCCTCTTTTGACATCCACGGGACGAAATAAGACAGGTTCTACCAGTAACCTACATATTGACACAACATTTTATAGGGAATAGAACGCCCAAATTTGACCTCCGACATTGATCAGTCTTAAGTAGGTAATAAATTTAAACAATATTATTTTTTAAATCTCGCTACGTAGGTATCGTCAAATAATAATAAAATTAAACTTCTAACGCGTTTAGAAGAAAACCGTGCAATGAACTAATACATATTATCTTATGCAAAGACTACTAAATATAACTAAAATATTCTCAGTTACTAGATCAATCTTAAGTATTTGGTGTAACGAGAAATTACAAAAATTATTGCCTACGTAAGTTCTATTACCCCTTCTTGCAAGATTTTGAAAACCGTGAGTGGCGGTGTTAGAATATCCACTACCCCATATCGTCCCGAGGGAGTGGCGAGCGGCAGATAGAAAAAGAAAAGGGCAGCAGCATCTTCCTAATAACAACTCAAAATAATAAAAAACTGCGGTTGCCAATCCGCTAGCCAAACGTGGCAACTACGTCAAAATCCCCCCATGAGGCCAAGACGTGGGAACCCTATGTTTAGCAGTGGACTTTTACAGGTTAGGCTATAATAGATGGATGGACAAGATTTTCTTAACTTGCGGTTTTCGTTTGCGAGGGCTGATCTAATGATAGACTCTAATGTTTATTTATTAAAATTAAGCGCTAAGCTCAAGTCGCTTCCAATCCGTCTTCGTCGGAATACTCATACCCTTTCCGCTCTCTACTGCGTTTTATTTAATATATCAAGTCCTCCCTACCTTAAAGAACGTTTCTAATTTCTCAGCTCCTCTCATAAACTTTCCCTTCGGTCCTTAGAAAACCTTTCCTTTCTATGTCCCCTGCACTTTTCTACATTTTACAGTAAATCTTTTTCAGTTCTTGGAGTGAAGCTTTGGAATTCCTTACCATCAACTATAAAACGTGCTCGAACAACAGACTCCTTTAAAAACCAAGTTAAAAAACATTATCTTTCCTTCTAAATTATCCCTCCTCCTTTTATCTATTTCTGTCGTTTTATGATCACTAGTCTGTCAATTAAGTACTCGTAAATTCCGGCATGTTTATTATTTTACTTTTATATTTGTAGATTATAATATTATTTATAGTTCACTCTATGCATTAATTAACTTTTCACTTATTTTTACTTCCTATTTAGGTTGTCTGGAAGAAATTGCTGCATAGCAATAAGACCGCCTTTTGTTTTTCTCTCTATTTTTTTCTTGTTATGTTGTTTTCTTAGTGTTCAATAAAGCGTATTTTATTGTATTGTATTATATTTAAACTATAAAGCATATAAAACAAGAATACTAAAATATAAATTTTAATCGACTTGAATTGTCGGGCCACTGTGAAAGTATACTCTTTCGGCATATAAAATATAAGCTATAATATAACTTCGGAAATATCGTGAAATATGCCTATATAAAGATATAATACTCTAAGGCCTTCTACTGTCATTTTAAAGTCAGTCAGAAATTAGATGTCCAATATTCTAAATGAAATTAAAATGAAAATTCGAACAATCCGCCGCGACGTGTCTATCGTGTTTACCTGCCCGAAATGCTGTTCGACCGGTTTTCTTGCTTACACTCGAAGACTTCGCAAAATCACTCCCACTGTAGAGACTTGGTAGAGCCGGTTCGCTCACGCACCTTACGTACCGTTTAATAAACGAGATTTTTTTTTACATTTGCGCACAGATGTCATTTAAGACAACGCTCGTTATTATCTAGTACATTTAGTAGTGCTAAATGGTATAAGGAACAAATTGTTTGTCAAAGTTTAATTAAGTTGATCGTTTAATGTCTACGATGTCACTCGTTTGTGCTTATTGTGTGTGTAAACAAATTTAGTTTGTGATTTAAAAATACCGGATAAAGCAATTAGTGACCGTTTTTAATTGAAATTATATTGATTACTAAGTCATGTTAGTTTTACAAATATGGAGTCTTTACCAAAGCAATTCGTTTCTGCTATGCGGACGCTTTTTGACATAATGGATGATAAACATACTGGATATGTAAAGCTAACTGATATTGAAAATCGCTGGCGTGACGACCGCACCAAAGGTCTTCCCCGTGGTGTCATAGAGAGCTTACAAAAAGTAGCCTCCCACGATGGCTTATTAACCTTTGAGTCTTTCTGTACAGGTCTAAAAATATGCTTATTACGTAATCAAGTTCACAATGCGTCTAAAAAAGTTAGTAGCATAGAAGAAATCGAAAATTCTGTAATGCATTCACAAGTAAGCGCTCAAGTACATCGACCACCATCAGCTCCATTACTTGACGTTAACACTGCCCAAAATCGGGATAGAAACTGGATTACAAGAAATCCAGAAACTTCGCATCATGGCCAGCATAGAACTCAAAGTATGCCTCAACTATTAGAAGATAAAGATAGCGTAGTACCGGAATGCTTGCATAACGTAGGAGTTGCTGCAGTTCCCAAACACGATACGACTCAAAGAATTTACGGTCCACCCAAACCACCAAGACTTGAAAAAAATCCCTTAGATAGGAGAGAAGTTTCTAGACCTAGTTACAAATCGGATGAGATACCAATTGACAGAGATGAGTTAATAGAAGGAAAACTTGAATTTGAAAATATATCAAGGGTGGTTGATGAACAAAGCAGGGAAGACAGAGGGCTGGGAGATGGACGTTCAGCAAATGAAACACAAGTACAGCTGCGACGCACTGCTCGTCGACGAGAACCTCGGAGGCACACCTTGCAGAACGGCGTCGATTATAATCTTTTAAAGAGAATGAAGCAAATCGAACAGGAGAAAGATGTATTACTACAGGGGTTGTCAGCAGTCGAGGACGCTCGCGAATGGTACTTGAAGCAACTTGCAGATGTTCAAGATAAGATGCGCTACGCGGGAAGAATGGGAACATATGTGGTAACATACTTTTATTTCAAATTATTTATTTTAATACTTTGTGGTGGCAACGTGAGTGAATTCATCACCTTATTTTATCCCGTTGGCCGTCGTAAGCGACGACTATGGGAAAGGCCAGATTGATCATGCAGCCTCCGACAGTTGGTGCTATATATATTATATATAGTATATATTTTTGTTTAATAGCCGTGCATCTAGTTGGTCTTTTTGTTCGTTATTTTTAGAATTCTTCATAAAGATTTATAAAAAGACCAACGTAAGACGACCATCGAAAACGTTCTAGCTAGTATACTGAGAGGTTTTCCATAGTTTTTTTTTTATAGAATGGGGTAACAAACGAGCACACAGTCCACAGTGGTAAGTGAATGCTGTGGCCCAGACATCTACATTTGTCTTCGATTAAGAATCAAAATGCAGATGCGTTGTCTCCCCTGGCTGCAACACTTTATAAACGCCACTAAACGTGTGAGGTTGAGACATCGGTATTGTACGCAGTGGCGCTAACGTATTTGTCATCACTCCGGGTTGGCCAAGATATAGCGTTCTGTGGGCACGGGCGGTACCAGAAAATCGACTCATTTTTCTACAACGTAATCCACAATTTTACCGAATTTCTCTAACCACCAATTGGCTCACATACAACAAAATAACAGATTGCTTATTTAAGCAGGCAAAGCACTTACTGGTAATACGGTATGATACATCATATTGCCATTATAATAATAGAAAAGTTCTATCATAGCAATGATTAAAAATTTAGGCGGATGTCCTGTAAATGCTATCTTACGAACTTATGATTCTACGAGTACATTAGGTACCTACATACTTAACTATAATGTCAGAGCGTTGAAAAGTACGTAGTGAAAGGACTTTTAGATAGTAGATAGTGCCGTCTCTAGGACCAGTCAGCCTCATCACTTCTAAGATTTAAGTAAAATCGTATTTATAATAACCGCTCTCGCTCAAGGAGATAATAACAGACTCCTATTGCACGATAATGTCTTTACATGTTTGCAGAGATGCACTACCCCGCGTCCTGCCACCAGAGTTGCATTATCTATCACAAGCTACGACTGCACTGCACCAATAATAAAAATCTAAAGCTCTGAGCTATCTAAAATCGTAATCATTATGAGTAAATGCTTTGTTTATCTTAAAGATTTGCATAACGTATCGTGGTCTAATTTTTTTTTAACTTGGTTTTCCTTAAAATACTTAGTTAAATTTCACCGTAGGCCTTATTATACTCCTTCCCGTGTGTAGTTTTTTTTTGTTTTTTTAATGTATTTTATATAACTTTCAAAACATTATAAATGCAAATAAATCGTACGGTTTTATTATTAAACTAATGTCGTAGTTAAAAAACTACCTAGTTTCAACTGTCCAAACTATGCAAATGCAAATTAAGCCTTGACATTAGAAGCTATTTAGTTACGTGTAAATTATTATTGATCCTGCGCGTACGCTATCTCGGACCGTGTCTGTTTCCGATTTGATGATTGTACGTGAATAGAGAGTGCACCTGTGCTTGCGCAAACATTCGGCCACTATATTTCTGTACTCCGCAGATAGGCTCCGTTGACGGGCCGCTGTGACAGAAATACGATTGGAAGGACACTCAATCCAACAATTAACCCAATACTCAACGCAACATAACACTCAACTCAACTCGAGACAATCGAAACATTGATGATAATCACGAGGAGTGCGTTTGTTTGTCAGTTGATTCATCACTATACTAATGACTTTAAGAGCTGTTAGGCGAGGCAATTTATATTTTTTTTTTAGAATTTTAAGTCCTAATTGCTTCATTCATGTGATTATTAATCACAAATATTAAATATGTTACGTATAGTTTGATTATTTGAGTAGGTTAAAGCAGTATGCCTTATTAACCTACATAGTAAAATAAAGTCTACTAGCAAGGTTTTAGAAATAATATTATTCTGTTTTTCTTTATATGGCAAATGTTACAATTTTTTGTTCATACCTTATAGAAAATGTACTAAACTTATCGTTTTTATTAAAATCTGTAGACCAAATTAGATATTTCTCATTTTAATTTCTAATTTCCCTTAGCTAGGTCTTATTACCCGCAGGTACTATAATTAGTGATTTTGGCATCCCGAACTCTGGGTTTTCAGGTCTTTAGAAATAACGACATAGCATAACATCGTTATAATGTTTGCCACCAATATTTGCATAATTGGTTAGAGGTTTGGTTTTGCCGCTAAAGGCTCAGGGGGGCTTGCGATTTGCCCGGAGGTCCCTGTAACGGGGATGAGCTTTTCGATAGCCGGAGAGGTTAAGAGTAGCTGCGGATTGGAATAGCAAAACAGGTGTAGATTTCAGGACAGACTGCTGGGGCCGGAAAGCTGTGCTGCCGAGATGGATTTGCCTATGCACTTCTTTTTGCCGCTTTAATACCAACGAATTATCGCAGGTGCCCCGATTGGCCGCATAGAACTTCTTTTTGAACTCCTAGCTGAGTTGTAGTCTTTAAGACTCGTACTACAAAGCAGCAAAGCATCAGGAATCTCACGGACCCAGTGTCAAGCATAAGTGAGAAACCAGTCAGTTTAATTATGTAATAACTACTTGAATGCTGTTACCTCCCGCCGCGCTCCCTCACTCCGCGCCTCAGCGTCGCCCTGTGAGTACCGATAGATAGCACCGCTTTCGTAATATCTTATGTATTTGAAATGTAAAATAAAACTATAAAAATTGTAATTATAATATTTTATAATTGTATCGGACACGCTCCTATTCACGGTTATTATTTCACTTTACTAAATAAATTATTTTTTAATATGCATTTTATCCACTAACACACACATGATAATTTTTTTGTCTAAGTACCGTCAGCTGTGATATCATAACGGTTGACGACGGCAAACTTGAAATGAACGAGTAGTATATTAGTTATTGACTGCCTCGTTGGTTTAGTATACGTAATCGCGAATACTGATTAAAAGGTCCCGGGTTCGAATACCCGGATTGGGCCAAAATCTGATATTGGATTTTTCTGTCACGAAATTCTCAGTAGCAGGCCGCACTTAAGAAGTGGGCGGTGTTTCACCACCGTGCTTCGAAAAGCACGTAAAGCCATTGGTCTTGCGTCTGATCTTTCTTCGTCTTCGGTCGTATCGGATAACCGTCCCATCGGACTATACGAGTGAGAAAATAGAGAGTGCACTTGTGCTTTCACAGTCTCCGTTGAGACTGGACGCGTGAGCAAAATTCGATCTGGAGGACATGGTTATTATTATTATATTAGAATAACAACGGAACAAACAAATATGTGGCAAACTTATAATAATAGGAACAACTCCATTATGCAGGAACCGTGGAACGAAGCACACCAAGAAAGATTAGAATTACTAAAAGCACGTGTATTGGAACTCAATAGGCAACTTGGTGCATTAGCAGCTGGATGGCGACATGGTCCACTCTCGCTGCACATGAACCTGGCTCTTCCCACAGCAGCGCTGCACAATTCACCTTCCAATTCGCCAAACAATGCCGCAGTGCTCAGATCACAAAATCGTATGCTCGCCGAGGTATGTACACATACATTTTGCACAGTTTATAGAAAAATTGTAGTGGTGGCGATCTCGCGAAATCCATTTTCTCTTCTGATTATGTGGGTGTCCCAATAGACGACTTGGGTAAATGAACGAAAGTTCTTCATAATAGTTTATGTCACAACCATCTCATAATTATTACCCTCGCAACAACGCTTTACCGGTGGAAAGCAGTAGTAAATATGCCTCCAAAAAGTGGCTATTACATCAAACTTTTCTCTCTGGGGGAGGCCAAGAGATGCATTGAACTGTGTACGGGCTTATGTGGGGAATGAAGTAATATTACTTGAATCAAGAATCATATTATATTTTAATTATTTAAAATTTAGTTATTAAACCATAGAAATATCCGTAGCACCTTGGTACCAGCAACTGGGCTCCCGCTAATAAAAAGCAAATAACTGACTACCGATGGAATGCCCCGTTGGTTAAGTGGTCGCAAGCAGGGCTGTGATCATGGGGTGCCGGGTTTAAATCCATAAAACAAAAGATCATATATTGGGTTTTTATTATATCAGACATTTTTCTTTAATTTCCGTATTACCACACAAATAAATCGCAATATTATTTTTTTATAGAATAAGGGTGACAAACGAGCACACAGTCCACCTGATAGTAAGCGGATCCTGTGGCCCATAGACATCTACATCTATTCTAGATTAAGAACAAAAATGTAAATGCATTGCCCCTGCAATGCCACCCCTGAGGATTAAGATGGAATGCCTCGTTTCCAGTAAAAACTATCTCTCCCGTTCTCAATACTCATTATACGAAACAGCAGCATTGAACTGCTATTATACGCTAGTATTCTGCGAGGACGTAGTCCTACCACGGTTGAAACGACAAAGTCATGCTACAACCATACTATAACGTAAAGCAACCTGTTCACAACCTTCTATGTTTTCTGTTCATTATTAACGGGTTAACAGCCTATGAAAAGTCCACAGCTGAGCCACAAGTCGCCTCCATAGATAATCTCATAAGGAGGGATATTGGCCTTAGTTGCCTGCTCGACAAACGCGTTGGCAAGCGTAGTTATTTTTATAATTTTGAAATGTTATCTGAAAGTTACTGCCAACCATTCCCTGTTCATGCTTCTTACGACACCCTCGGAACGATATGGAGTAGTGGATTATCGTATGCCGTTACTACACAGCGGTTTTTTATTTTTTACCACCAAACTGATCTCTTACCTCATTCATAAATTTGCCGAATTTTAATCATCTACCTGAAACGCTCAGAAAAAGTTCAGTCTGACAGACACTGAGGTGATTCTCTTAGTGATGTATTTCGATTAATTTGCCCATAGAGCACTCAAAACGGAGTATTTTAATAAATGTTTTATCTTTAGTAAGAGCCGTGGTAGCTTAGATGGTTAACGCTCGCTGTAAATATAACAGAACGTGAGGATCTCGGGTGCGATCCCCGCCGGCACCAATGAAATTGTTAATTGCAATTTTAAGTGCTGATTTACTACGTGCTCGGCGGTGAAGAAAAACATCGTGAGGAAACCTGCATGTCTGAGGAATAAAAAAAATATTTCGAAGACATGTGAAGTTCTCCAACACGCATTGGGGCAGCGCGGCGGATACTTCCTTGCCCTAAAACCCTCTCAGAAATGAGGGGAGGTCTGTGCCCAGCAGTGGGACGTATATAGGCTGTAACTTTACTTTACTTTTATCTTTAGTAGTTATTTATTATTTTTTCAGGAGGTCAATCGAAAAAATGAAAGAATATCAATTTTGGAGAAGGAAAAGTCAGCTCTTATTAGAGAATTACTAGTTCAAAGAAACAGAACAAAACTAATGGAAAATTATAACTGACCCAATTTTTGTATAAAATACTTAAAAATAATATATGTACTTAACAGGTTTCATAAAAACAAAATTGTAATGTAATTTTATATTATATTGTATTTAAGTGCCATAAATACCTATCTAAACCAAGTAATAAAACATTTCTTTTCCACATAAATTACAATGTAGTTTTAATTTCATGTTTATTATACAAAGTGTAATCATACTCTCGGAAGGGTACATCATATGTGAGGTTTCCTTGATCCCAGGCTCTTTCAATTGCCACCAACAGTTCTTTGTGTTTCTTTTGGCATAAACCAGTTTTAAAAGCATCCAGTATCTGGAAAAAATAATAAAATCGTTATTAAAATCTTTTTTGTATACATACAGTGTTTTAAGAGACTTGTTTTGTATATAACTCATTATAATGGACGAAAATATTTTTTTTGTTAAGATAGGTAAAAATAAAGTAGGTTGTATATAATTTCTAATGTTATTTTATCTGTAGAACTGTTCAGAATTTTTTGGAGCTTGTGTAGTAGCAGTGAAGTAGCATTACTCAATATTGTTATAAAGGGTGTATGTAGTAGACATAGTATAGTACATCTCTCTGGGGCCATATTAAAAGTTTTAGGAACTGGTCAGAGCGACAAAATTAATGCGGAGGAAATAAATAAATTGAAATTAAAATATAGAGCTAATCTGGGAGAGATACTTAATATTAAGTGCATCAAATTCATTTGTTTTTACGGTGATATTAACCGCGAAAAATGATGTTGTGGTTTAGTACTAAAATAATTTACAAAATCCAATATAATATAACAAAACAAAACAAGTAAAAGTACAACATAAAAAAAAACAAGAAAAACATAACCACAACCTTTTTTTTCTAGAAAAATTAAATTTAAAAAAAAATAATTTATGGGGGGGGGGGGGTTTTTTCTTTTTTTTTTAAAATAAAATAAAATTAAGTCTCTTTCAAAGTCATCCACAATCAATTTATTAGTTTTTTTAATCTCTTTTACTCAATCAGCCTTTGTGACATGGACACATGCTTCAACAAATAAAGAAGAAGACAGGCCAAAAAGTTAAAGCCGAGTCACAAAATAAGAAATACAAAATCATAAAATAATGCACCCGAAATGGCGGGAGATTGAAATTACGTAGTGGTTTTTTCAGCACGGCCTTGTATTAGAGTTTTTTTCCTACACAAATTTACGTTGACAAAATAAAAAATAAACTTGTTTTATTCATGATTCATGTAATTTAAGGAATTTTAAAAATAATAATTTAATTAAACAAATAATACATTAAAAAATGATTCGATTATTTGAATATTTTTACCGATTATTTGAATATTTTGCCAATTATTAGCATAACAATGAATTTTAATCATCCAAACACTAGGTAAGGTTCTGAGCAATATATCATTGAAACGACATCAAGTAAAAAAGTTGATACTGGTTATTTTTTTAATATTTTGTTTTGTTTGATAGATTCGAATTTAAATAAGTGATAAAAAACTATACACGTAATGAAATATAGATAACTTCATAATTTTTCGGATTTACGTAAAAGGTTATTTTAAATTGTGTAAGTACGCTTGTGCAAAGTTATTGCGGAATGATTAATGTTAAACGTCAAAAGGCATCTCTTAGATTTGGTTGACTATAGGTTATAATAAGCAGAGTCCCAAAAAATATATAAAATCATAAAACATTATCAACTGTTGAATACTAACTTATGTATGCTAAATTTATTAAAAGTTAATTTTACCCCTATTTGGGAGTAATAAGGAGTATCACAAGGAATATTACAATGTCATCTATATAGTTCCATTAAAAATGTAACCCCCTATTTTTCCAGCCTGAGGGGTTGCAATTTTTCTTAAAATTTTGATGGGACAGTCTGAAGTAAGTAAAATGCAAACAAAAAAAGCAAAACACAGTTTAATTGTTAACCAAAGCTTTTTTTGAAGTCAGCTAAATACATTACAAGTTATGCTACAATACACCAGCCATTGTATTTTGTATATTTTGCTATTAAATGATTCATATTAAGAAACACAAAATTAAGATTATATTTTTGAAGAGCATAATACCAAGGCCGATGTAAAATATGATATGGCACTCACTCTCCGCCCTGCACAGACAGTATGGGCTGCATGTGCAAAGCCATCAAGTTATGTGTCATATTATGCCTCTTGGTTGACAAAGAAACCACTTTTAAGGAAGTTAAAATTACCTTTTTATAATATGTATAACATTGATTTTTCAAAATATTTAGCATTATTGAGTAAATTAAACTATCATCAAAATTATTTAAATAAATAGGTACCTACTTTATTTTAAACAAAAATCCCTGTTATAATATGCAAAATAATCTTTTACTTTCAATATAATGGTATAGGGACATACATAGACAGTTAACCAAAGTTATCTTGACTCCAAAGAAGAAGCGCATTTACAAAGATGTTGTTTGGTTAGCATTTTTTTTGGTTAATTTCGACAGTGATGAAGCTTATAAGACGGGGCCACTGGCAAATTATGAACTGGGCGAAGTATAGGTTTAGGCCAAAGATAGGTAATTTTGATGGCGGTATAGGTTTATCTGTTAGGTAATTATAGGGGCCGGTATAGGTAATTTGAACTGATGGCGGGGCCAGAAGTATAGGTAATTTGACTGTGGGGCCGCGAAGGATAGGTAATTAGACAAATTGAATAGTGTTAATTGGAAAAGAATTATTCAAGGAAGCGCACATCATAGTGCTTACAATTTGGCTCAAATCTGGCAACCTAACTGTTACTTATTTGCAAGTTTGTTTATTATTATTTAGTATTGAATAGGTTCACTTCATCGATTAGGTAGAACCAAATAAAATTTATTGTACTGATTAGCAGACAATCCAAATTTTAAGGACAGAATACTTTAATGCTTCATTATTTAAAAGCTAGTTGCTTTGAGCCAATTGATCATCTGATGGTAAGTAGGTAGCTACTACAGTAAATGCAGTCATCTTTCAGGAATAAGATGGGTTGATAATATTTGCTCTCTATACTTTAAAGTGGAATGCAGCTATTGATGCACCACTACTTTATGATAGAAATAAGTCAGGCAGTGTTATATACACAACAAAATATTAGCAGAAATACTGTTGTTGATAGTTAATGTGTCATTCATTCCCCACAACCAGTACAAGTCCACTGCTGATCATAGCCCTTCTCTTAGATTTCCTCATAGGGGGATACTTGCCATAGTTGCTCACTGCTCACTGTTCACAAGAGCAGTTTATTATTTTAAGGTGTTATCAAGATGCTGCTGCCCATCACCTGTTTCAATGCCTTCTATCATTTTTTGCTAAACCTGCAGGACCATTAGACACAAGACCCTAAATCTTTAGAATAAGAGTAGAGTCCTTCATACAGGTATAAATGATAGAATTTTTTAAAAAATTCTTATCTTACAAGCCAACTATGATAAGATCCCAAAACAATTTATATTCTATAAGAAGTATAAGATACAATTAAATAAAACTGAGGAGCCGGAGGAATTAAATCCAAAAGAGCTTAGTTTTCACGAATGGTTTAAAAAAAATGAAGGTGTAGGATCCTGAACTTTCTCTGAAGACCTTAATATCCACATATGTACTCTACTGGGTACCCATAACACAGTCTTTGAATATATGGGTATCATCCAAGAGGCCATAGCAAGAGATGCTAGAAAGGTAAAAGACTTTTCTATCACAATAACACACTGACCGACAGTATGGTGGTATTACAAGCTCTGAGTTGTAATGTGATGGATTCAGAACTAATATATGAATGCCATCAACAATTAAATGAGGTATGTAAGCACAACAATGTGACTCTGCAACCGATTAAGGGACACAGTGGATCTAGAGGCAACAATGCAGCAGATAAACTGGCCAGAAGAGGTTCGGCTCTGGTCACTATAGGGCCAGAATCAATAATACCAATCCCCTTTGGTTACGTCCATTCATTGGTACATAGAAACTTCACTAATCTACACACTCAGCTTTAGAAAAATCTAGTAGAATGTAGGTAAGCTAAGGAGGCCCTGTCTGAAATAAACAGTCATCTAAACAAGGTTCTAATGAGACTAAACAAGCCGCAGATCAGAATTGTAACAAGTGCTATCACAGAACATGGCTCCTTTAACAAACATTTATTTACCATAGGTGTTACAAATAGTCCCCTATGCAGGGCATGTATGAAGGAGGAAGAAATGACGCCCTTTGTGGTGCTGACATGTCTGGAGGTAGGTGCATACAGGGCTAAGCATCTTGGCATGTAAAGTTGCTTGCAACATAAAAGGACTGTTGAACTTCATCGGGGAGATTTCATAACTCAAATAATAATATTATTCCTGCCCACACGCAAAATACGCGCTTAAACATGAAGTTGTGGAATACAGCCCGTCATAACATAAACTAAACTACACCTGCAGGATGATATTGATTTAAATGGGAGAGCTGCATCACCAGCAGAGAGCAGGGTTAATCTTACTGATCCTGCTCCCCTTGGACATCCTCCCAGTATTACATTAATTTATTTTAAAATCAATCTTATCGTTTTTTATGGATAAGTATGATTTTATTAAACAATTATACCTTTATCAGCCCCATCAAAGACCACAATGAACATGGCCTTACCAGTTAAGATTTGCCTAAATCGTCACGCTTGGTTGAGATTGTCTGATTGCCATCACAGTGCAAGTCTTTTAACACCTTTGACTTAGTATGCCTTTATTACGAATAGATAAAATACCTTGGTAATTATGTAGAGCTCACCTGGCCTGTGTATTCCGAAATAAATTGTTGAAGCAACTTTGTATTTCTATGATCCAAAACCAGATATTCATCTCGACAGATTGGACATGGATTTCCAGTTGATATTACTCCATTTCGAATACAAGATTTTCTTGTTTTGCGAGGAGCAAAGCCACCTTTATGATTACGACGATACAATGTCCACACTGGTTTGACACCATAGGTCTCTTGATAAGCT